GGAGCCGAGCAGCTGGGAGCTGAACGGGAGAGGGGATGCCAGTGTCGTTAGCAGTGGCCCAACCCTCTGTGCCCAGCAGGGCCCCAGGGGTCCCTCCTCTGTCCACTGCTTTGATGCAGGGGCCGACTGTCAGGCCGGGGCCCAGGAGTCCCCGTGCTGCCCACGCTCACCTGTCACCGTCACTCAGTGGTGGGCTGCGTCCCCTGTGACACGCAGTTGTCATTGAACTAGGGCGTTTTCTGAAAGCAGAGCCGAGTCCAGGGGCTCCCCTCAGCCGCCCCCAGCCACCTGCGGGCCTCACCCAGGCCCCCGGCACAGCTGGGACCTCAGGCGGCAGGCATCTGGGCTCAGGGCCTGGGGCTCCGCCTTTGGAGCCCGCCACCCTCGAGGTCGGCCTGGCCCTGGACTCTGGACCTCAACAACCACCCAGCTTTGCTCACAGGGCCTCACTTGCACCGGGCTCAGAGCGGGGTCGACTCCAGGGCCCGAGGCGTCCCCAAGACCACCTGCCTGGCTCACGGTCCTCCGGCCCTGCTGCGGCCCCCGCGTGGGCCGGGAGGATGCCCTGAGGCCAGTCTGCCATCTGGCTGCCCATGGGGGTGGGGGGGCCCTCACCAGATCCCGCACTGCCTGCCTGCACCTGTGATGGCCTGCACTCAGCCTGGGCCCTCTGCCCTTCTCCTCCTCCCGCCAATCATGTGGACGAGCTTGGCCACCTCACACCTCCCCTGCCACAGGAGACCACGGAAAGCCTGGCCTTGGCCGCAGCACCAGGCTGGGGACCTCAAGGCCATGGGCCTCGCCCGGCCTGCTGGAGGCTGGCAGGGGCTGACCGCAAAGGCCACCCTCACACAAGGCAGGGCGCCCCACACCTCGCCTGGGAACCAGCAGGAGCCCGTCACTGGGCTCAGGGCCTGGGCAGTAATTTAAATGAGGACGCATGGTCAGTGCTCATCCCACAGCCTGGGACACAGTGAGTATCAATAACTGCTGGCAGATCAGACTTCCCTGGAGCGAGGTAAGGGGTGAGCAAGCCAACGTTCAGGGGGCCGTGAGGACCCACCGGTGGTCTGGAGACGAAATCAATGTGACTGCTTCAGGCGAGGCAAGGAAGGTTCAATAAAGGGTCGGTCTAGGGAGGGAGGGACGGGCAAAGCACGGGGAACGTCAGTGTACGACAGAGGGGACGGCTCCATCACCGGGCAAAGCACGTGGGAACGTCAGCACACGACAGAGGGGACGGCTCCATCACCGGGCACGGGGGAACATCAGCACACGACAGAGGGGACGGCTCCATCACCGGGCGCACGGGGAACGTCAGCACATGACAGAGGGGACGGCTCCATCACCGGGCGCACGGGGAACATCAGCACACGACAGAGGGGACGGCTCCATCACCGGGCGCGCGGGGAACATCAGCGTATGACAGAGGGGACGGCTCCATCACTGGGCACGCGGGGAACATCAGCACACGACAGAGGGGACGGCTCCATCACCGGGCACGTGGGAACGTCAGCACACGACAGAGGGGACGGCTCCATCACCGGGTGCGCGGGGAACATCAGCACACGACAGAGGGGACGGCTCCATCACCGGGCACGGGGAGAACATCAGTGTACGACAGAGGGGACGGCTCCATCACCAGGCACGGGGGGAACGTCAGCGTATGACAGAGGGGACGGCTCCATCACCGGGCACGGGGGAACGTCAGCACACGACAGAGGGGACGGCTCCATCACCGGGCCGGGGATGGACATTTCAGCGAGTGGGGTGGCCGGTCCCACGGTCCGTTCAGAGTTCACACCACACACACCGCACAGCCCAGAGCGGCTCAGGGTCCGGATGTGGCCAAGGAGCCAAGGAAGACGCCATGGATCCCACCTCGGTCCTGGTGTGTGCGGACGCCTTGCAGCCCTGATCGAACCCAGATGTGGGTGGCGGGAGGTGGGTGCATTCGGCTACAGAAAAAAAAATTGCCTGGCCACTGAGATGAAGTTGAAAGACAACCGACAAACTGGGAGGAACCACCTGATGCCTCTTCCAACAAAGCAGCCTGGAAGTTCCGGGAATTGGGGGAAAGTGGGAAACACACGAACCCACAATCCACAAACAAGAAAAGGACTGTCCCGCACACACGGGAAAGATGCAGGTTCCCTGGTAATCGGAGAAACGCAAAGGAACACCCCGCGGAGACCCACTGCTCACTCCACAGCGACAGCATGACCAGGCTGTGTGCTGGGGCCCGGGGGGCTGTGGGGAGGCAGGTCTGGGTGTACAAACTGGCCCCTGCCCTGTGGAGGGACACCGGCCACACCCGAGGGGACCCCCGACCCCGCGTTTGCCCCGCGAGGCTCTTCCCTCAAGACGGGCAGTGCGCTGTAACGAAACTCGGGGCAGGTGCACCCTTACCTCAGGGCTCAGGACGTGGGTGTCTGTGGGTGAGCCTCTACCTGGCGGGGGTCTGCCTGCCCCGCCCGTGCAGGAGGTGGAGAGGGCATGGCACACCACGCCTCCCGGGAGCGACCCCACAACCTGACAGCTGGCGGGCGTGGGAGCCCCAGGCACTCCCCCACCCGTTAAAGAGCCCTTAATTGCCAATCAGGTAAACTGCTCCGGGGTGTGGCCCAGGCCCATTAGGACCACCTGGAAAGCCCAGCACGCCAGCATCGTCTCTGTCCTGTAGGATCAGTGTTGCCCTGAATTAGCCACGCCCCGCTGCCCGCCCTTTAAAGCGCCTTAGTAAGGCAGACATGGTCCCTGGAGCTTGTTTCTGGCGGCGCGCGGGCCTCGCGGTCGAGCCTGCAGGTGTCCAGGGGCTCATCTGGCTGGTCTTTGGGCTGGCCGAGTCCCAAGGCAGTGGCAGGGCAGAGCGACACACAGAAAGCCACAGAGGGTGAGCGAGGCCGTTCGTATGGTCTTGCTCATAAAACTCCAGGATTCAGTCATAGGCTCCACCCCAAGGACTGAATCCACCCTGGTCGCTTCCCACGGCCCCCGGCTCGAAACCTCATCACTGCACCAAGTTCTCCCTCTCAGCACCCTTCACGCAGGACTGCGGGGACCAAACGCCCGCGTGGGCTCGGGGCGGGAGCTCACGTTCAAGAAGAGCAAGCTCACAGGGTCGGATCTCGGGTGCGCAAGGCCATTCACGGAGCCGCTCTCTGGGTGTGGCCCACCGGGTCACGGGACTACCGTCTTCACCCCCCCTGCAGCTCAGTCCCCCTAACACACCCGTGCTCCCAGGGACGAGCAGGAGGACATCCGGGGGGGCCCGATCCTGGGGGCCCGACCCCCGGGGGCCCACGCTGACCTGCTGAGCTGTCGCGTGCAGATCTTCCTTCTGGGTTCTGGATTCTCTTTCTAAATAACAGGATTGCCGTTGCCCCTCGGCCTCCGCTCCCAGCTGCAGGAGCGCGGCTCTGCGGAGCCCACCCTAGTCGTTCCTGGCTGGGAACCGGTGCCTTCCAGAACACTGCTGGGCCACCCGCTGTCCCCACAGTCACCACTAACCAGGTGGGGGCAGGGCTCTGCTGGGGCCCCTGCCTGTCTCACCTGCAATCTTTCATTTAAATACAAACGAGTCAGCTGAAGCAGGCCAATTAGCCCGAGAACAGGCTGTTCTGATTTTTAATACCCCCGCCCCCAATTTCTAATTCCTGACTCATTTCTCAGCTTAGAAAATGAGACCTTGATGCCTCACAGTCTGAGTACCGCCCAGGGAGGCGTGGGTGAGGAGAGCCCTCGGGGTGCTGGCAGGTCCCCCCCAAGGCCCTGTCATGACTACATTTTATCAGGAGCCCCCTCCCCTGGGGGTCCGCAGCCACAGGGCTCAGCACTGCCCTGGGCAGGCGGCTACACAGGCTGCTCTGAGCGCCCGGGCTGCTCCCAAGGCAAGACTCCGCTGGGCGGCACCGGAGCTGGGGGAGGTGGAAGCCAGGTGGCCGGTGTCCTGGCCCCTCCCAATGCGTAAGAGGAAAGCTGCACAGCCGGGCCAGCAGGGCACAGGGCCGACCCAGGTTCAGAGCAGTCACAGCCCCCAGCTCAAGGCCACGGCTGCAGCCTGCACCTGCCAGGGAGGGGCTGTGGGCTCAGATGAAGGGCTGCAAACCCCCAGGAGCCCGGGGCGGGTCCTGTATCCTCCAGAGCTGTCTGCGACCTTGTCCTGACCTTGTCCCGACCTTGTCTCCCTGGAGCCCTCCCCTTCCTTGCCCTCGGCCCCCCACCCCCATCCCCTTCTCTCTCTGGGCCCAGGCACATCCTGTGGGGGACACCAGGACTTGCAGACCTACTGTGTGCCCCACGCTGAGCTGGAAACCCAGGCACAGGTCCCTGCAGGAAGGACCCCGGGGCCGGGAGGTGGGGACCCCGCTACCTGCCCTGGAGCCGCCAGGACGCCCCCAGCACCCCCACACTGAAGCGGAAATAAAACCTAGGATGGAACCTCGGACCAGCGAGCTCTGATCCCTGCCCAGGAAGGCGGAGGAGCCCGGGCCCAGTGGGGGAGAACCCCCAGGTCCGCTGTGGGGTGCCCGGGACCCGGAGGTGGAGGGAGGCAGCAGTGAGTCCCGAGGGGTGGGAGGGAGGGTCTCGGGCCCGAAGGCTGCATGGGGCAGGAGCTGGCCACGGCTGCCCTCAATGGCTGCCATGACAGCCTGGCCCCGAAGCTTGGAGCCCTGGACTGGAGGGGCCTTGGGGGAAGGTGGGGAGGACGGCCCTGGCCTGACCGTGGTGACCAGGGGAACCAGCAGGGCTGTCCCCGCAGCTGAGCCTCTGGGCACTGGACATGCTTTCAGCTGCCCCAAGACCCCTGTCCCGGCCAGGCAGGGCGCACCCTCCTGCTGCCTCACGGCCCCATGCTCAGCTTGACCTGGGTCACGGGGGCGGGGCCTCCTCCCCTGGCACCCTCCTTTGCTTCAGTGCAATCCAGCTGGACCCTGGGAAGAGCCCCGCCCACACCTCCCAGCCCCGCCCACCAGGCCCCGCCCACACGCAGGACTCACTCGATGGTCTTCCCCCAGTCGCACCACATGGTCTTGCCGACGGCCTCCATGTCCACCTTGAACGGGGCGAGGCAGTGCTCCTGCAAGAGGGCGCCGTAGTCTGTGTCCTGGCAGGCGGTGACCACGAACAGGTGATGGGCTGCAAGAGAGCCGGGCACGGTCACCTGCCGGCCTCACCCCCAGGTGGCCTCCCCGGGCTCCAGCCCACAGCCCCCTCACGCTCCACAGGACGGCTCTCTGGGGGCGCCCGGGAGACGTGTCCACGGTCCTGGTCCCCTTTTGCCTGCACCGGGCACCTCACGTCCTGGGAAGATGTCCCCCGAGGTCACGCGTGGCCTTGCTGGTGACGGCCGCCGCATGGGCCCCTCCACGGTTTCATCCTCACGTCCACCCGCGACGTGGTCCTCCTGAAACCACGGTGTGAGGACGTCCAGGGACCCACCAGGCCTTGCCGCCCCCAGGCCCTGGCGCTGACCCACTGAGAACAGGACCATTCCTGCCCAGGCAGGGGCTGCACGAGCGTCCTGGAGAGGGTCCCGGGTCCACCCCGTGCAAGCCGGCACCTGGCCACACTCCCTGCTCAGCCTGGGAGGTCCTGAGGGTCTGGACATTGCTGGTTGGAACCCAGGCTGCCCACCTGCAGCAGGAACCGTGCCCCTGGCTCTGGTGGGTGCACGGAGAGCTTTGCCCTGGGCGCCCATCACCCTCTCCCTCCTCGTCTGGGGCTGCTAGGGGCAGGGACTGCCCGTTCCTGGTTGAGGGCGGGGCTGCTGGTCCATCCACCAGCCCCTCTGTCTCCTCGGGCTTTTCTGGGCGTCTCCCACCCCGCCCCACCCTGCCCTTCTAAACTCCTGGGAGGGGCTTGGAGGAAGGGGCCAGGAGAGGGCTCAGTGCAGGCTGCTGACCTCTTCCTGCTGCACCTGCCCCTGGGGTAGAGCGCCCCCCTCCTGTCTCTCGAGGAGCGCCCAGGGGCCATTCATGCCACACCCCTGCAGTCACACAAGTCTCCCAGAGTGTGTGCCCAGGGACCAGGTGGGCCAGCTGCGAAGTGGGTCCCAAGCAGGGGCTACTTCCTAAGTGTGCCCACCTGCTGGGTGGGCAGGCATCTGGCGGGGTGGCTCAGATGCTGTTTGGGACACCCAGGTCCCTAGCAGAGGTCCTGGCTCTGCTTCCTGCACATGCACCCCAGGGAGGCACCGCAGGGCAGCCCAAGCACCACCCTCCACCGACACGGGAGACCCGGGCCAAGCTCCAGGCTCCTGGCTTCAGCCTGGCCCAGTCGCGGTTGCTGCAGCGTCTGGGGAGTGAACCAGCAGAGAGGAGAGTTCTGTCCACGTGTCTCTCCCTTTCAGGATATTTTTTTTTTGACAGGCAGAGTGGGCAGTGAGAGAGACAGAGAGAAAGGTCTTCCTTTTTTCTGTTGGTTCACCCCCCAGTGGCTGCCACGGCCGGCGTGCTGCGGCCGGCGCACAGCCCCGATCCGAAGCCAGGAGCCAGGTGCTTCTCCTGGTCTCCCATGGGGTGCAGGGCCCAAGCACTTGGGCCATCCTCCACTGCACTCCCGGGCCACAGCAGAGAGCTGGCCTGGAAGAGGGGCAACCGGGACAGAATCCGGCACCCCGACCGGGACTAGAACCCGGTGTGCCGGCGCCGCAGGCGGAGGATTAGCCTAGTGAGCTGCGGCGCTGGCTTCAGGATATTTTTACAAATGAAGGCCCGCCTGCTGTGGACAGGGGGAGGGCCAGGGGCTCCCAGGAGCTCTGGAAGGCTCAGGCACGGCCTGAACCTCCCATCCCCACCCTGCACTGCCCCTCGTTAACACTTGCCCCAGCCCAGCCTGCACCCAGGTGGCCACCACGGCCTCCCCCAGTGGCCTCTGCAGGAAGCCTTCCTCGCCCCCTGCGCCCCAGCCCGCTTTCTGGCGCCCCAGGTCGGGTGGCTGGAACGTTCTCTTTCCTCAGAACCATCGCCCACTCCTTCCTGACTCGGCGTCCGCCATCCCCGGCACCCAGCTCTGCAGGCCGGCATCTGGCAGAGGAGCCCACAAGTGCATGAGATGCTGTGGGAACGCCCCCTCCCATGAGCCTCCCACCCCACGATAAGGTGTCCCTCCCCCGACCGGGGCGCAGAGGACAGGCGCTGTGCCCCGCGCGGCTGGAGCTTGGCAGCCAGCTCCGGCTCCCGCGGTCTGCGCAGCTTCCTGGCCTGGGCTGGCAGGGCTGGCTCTGGGCTGCCGCCCTTCGCTGCCTCCCGAGGGGCAGGACCTGCCGTGCCCGGCCCTGTCTGTCTCCGCAGCCGTGAGGGCGACGCAGGTCCCCGTTTTGGGCACAGGAGCCCAGCAGGGCGCCAGGCAGCTTCGCAGCTGGAAAGAATGGCCCCAAGTTTCCTTACTGGCCACTGGGGGCCGAGCGGGGGCCCTGGCCCCAAGTTTCCTTACTGGCCACTGGGGGCCGAGCGGGGCCCTGGCTCTGTGTGACCGCCAATGCCACGGCCCTCAGCTCCTGTCTGTAGCGAGGCGGCACAGAGCTGCAAGGGAAGACAACACAGGGCTGGAGCCTCCCGGCCCATGACCCGGCGACCCCTGGGGGCCTGTGTGCCCTGGGGCAGTGGCTCCCCCACCCCCCGCACCACCACCACCAGCAGCCAGGGCTGGGGGGGGGTGGGCAGAGTCAGGGGCTCCCCGCCTCGGGTCAAGGGTTGGATCTTCCAAGGAGAGGGCCGCCCTCGGCCTGGGCCTGTCGCCTGGCAGGAAGGGACCCTCGGGCTGCTGCCTGCCTCATGCTGCCATAGCAGAGCCCACTGGGGTCCCCTCCCAGCCAGGGCCAGGGCCTGCAGGCAGTGGAGTCTCCCACCCCCTGGAGCAGCGGCTTCTGTCCGGGCCAGGGCGGCTGCAAGGCCTGCGGGACACGGGCCGGCCCAGGACGCTCGGCCAGGGACCAGCAGGGGACACGGGGAGGGAAGGGGCACAGCCCCTTTAGTGTGCTCTGTTAGTCACACTTCAAAGGAGCTGTTATTTAAATACATATATATATAAACATTTAAAAATACATACACCCGGAAAATGGAATCTCTTGGAATTAAAGAAACCATCGGGGGCCGGCGCTGTGGCGCGGCGGGTTAAAGCCCTGGCCTGAAGCGCCGGCATCCCATATGGTCACTGGTTCTGGTCCCGGCTGCTCCACTTCGATCCAGCTCTCTGCTGTGCCCTGGGAAGGCGGTGGAGGACGGCCCGAGTCCTTTGACCCCTGCACCCACGAGGGAGACCCGGAGGAGGCTCCTGGCTCCTGGCTTCGGATCGGCGCAGCTCTGGCCATTGCGGCCATCTGGGGAGTGAACCAGCGGATGGAAGACCTCTCTCTCTGTCTCTCCCTCTCTCTCCAACTCTGTCATTCAAATAAATAAAGTAATAATAATAATAAAAAAGAAACCATCGAATTCCTCGACACAAATCAAGCAAATGGGAAGGGGCGGTGCAGGGGGCGCTCTGAGGGGGTGGGGCCGGCACCCCGGCCTGGCCCGCCGATTTCCGAAAGCCGCCTCTTCCCGGCCAGCCCTTCTCCTGACCCACGGCGGGAATCCCTTCCTGCCCACGCAGCTGCCCGGGACTGCGCTGGCTGAGCCGCCAGGGAGCCACCCCGCCCCCACCCACCCTGGCGTGGTTTCGGTACCCGTGTCTCGGCCCACAGCACGCCCCGTCTGGAAGCGAACATGCCCCTTTTGGAAGACAGCATGGGCAGAGACGGCCGCCCTCACTTCCAGAAGACGTGCTGCACCCCCTTGCAGCAGGACAGCCCCGGCCGGGAAGGGGGTGACCACAGCTCAGGTGGCCAGGCCCTGGCAGGCCCTTCGCACACACCAGCCTACTCATTGCTTGCAAATAACTGCAACGCAGGGGTCCTCCATGTACACACGGCAGTGGAGCCCAGAGGAGTGAGCTCACCTGCCCAGAGCCACACAGCCCCCGAGCGGTGCTCGTCACAGAACACATGGGAGACCCCAGAGACCCCAAGAGCGGCCCCCAAAGCCTGCGGATGATCGAGGGCCACGCGGCTCCGAGCTTCCCTTCCGTGGATGCGAGTGCCCAGGGCCGGAGGCAGGCGGGGGAGGATCCCGGGGCTCCCTCCCGTGCCTCCCGTGCAGGGCGCCTGCAGCACCCACGGCCCGCCCTTGGTGAGGCTTCTGCCAGCCCACCATGCGGGTGAGCTCCGGCGTGGCTGCCTGGTCCATCCTGGGCATCCGAGAGCCCACGTGAGTGCCCAGTGACTGCCGGGTGTTTCCCAGGACGGTGGCCCCGACGCCACCCCACTGCCACGCTTCCCTCCATGTCGAATCCCTGGCACCTGGCGACAGACCCCAGTGCACACAGGAAACCCCCATCTGCCTCCCCTCCTCCCCAGCCCGGTCCTGCCCGCATCTGCCACTCACCTGAGCTCCGCCCACTGCCACGCCCACCATTCACCTCTCAGGTGACAAACCAAACGCGGTGCCCTAACAAGAGGCCAGCCAGGAAGAGGGAAACGCAGACCTCCAGGACCAAGAGCAAAGAGAGTGCTAGACACAGAAATACGGCGCCAGAATCCACCACAGCACGCGGAGCGCTGGCTGGGCCGCACCCACGATCCGCCACGAAGTCACCACGTGGCTGCCACCCCGGAATCCACAGACCAGTGCCAACCTGGTCACAAAACCAAGTCCCTCGGGACCTCCGAACTCGGCAAGGCTGAGAAGGAGGAAGCGCCACACCACCCACACAGCCCCACCCCCATGGCCACACACCTCCACACCTGCACAACTGCACACCTGCACACCTGCACATGTCCACACCACCACACACCACCACACACCACCACACCTCCACACCTCCACACACCACACACCAGCACACACTACCACACCTGCACACCTGCACACCACCACACCACCACACCTCCACACCTCCACACCTCCACACTACCACACACCTCCACACACCGCCACAGCTCCACACCTCCACACCTCCACACCGCCACACCTCCACACCTGCACACCTGCACACCTGCACACCGCCACGGCCCCACCCTCAGCATGGGATCGTAGTGCAGTGATGCTGATGAAACGGAGAGCTCGCAGGGAGACACGGAACACCCAGGGGGACCCGGA